GATGTTGATGAAAAGAGAAGAGGTAAGGCTTATATACCCAATAATGAATTTAACTTATGGTTTTATTTACAGAGTGTTAATAGAAATACACGAGTTGAATCATTTTCTGGTGAGAAGTACTACCTGGTTGAAGTCATTGCATTTATACTGAAGTACCTGAAGGATCAACTCATTGATCATTTTAAGCTCACTGTCAAGCCATTGAAGACAACAGATTTTGATTGGGTCATTACTGTACCTGCTATTTGGGATGCACGAGGAAAAAGAATGATGAGAGAAGCTGCTTATTTGGTAAGTAAATGTAGGTAGAATAAAACCATTTAATTAGATTCCTCAATCGTAGGCTGGTTTAATGACAGAATTTGATGGTATTAGCAGTTTCAATCGTGCAGCTCTTCCTCTTCCCAAAGAAGTCAATCCTGGCAGGCTATCATTAGCACTAGAGCCTGAAGCAGCTGCCCTTTATAGCCAGGAAATAGTGGGAGACCAGATTAAAAGTGATCCAGGCACATCAATTATCCAATGTCCATCAGATTACATGGTAATTGATGCTGGAGGTGGTACTATAGATATCACAGCTCACATTGATGTTGATGGAGGTATTGTAGTTGAGAATATACCCACTGGCAATGCATGGGGTGGCACACAGGTCAATGAAGCTTTCTCTCAATTTTTGCAGCGTATAGTTGGCGACCCCGAATTTAAAAAATTCCTCGATACAGAGCAAAGGCCTCAGCGTATGGCTGCATTAAATAATATGCTATACAATGATTTTGAAAAGCAGAAAGTTCTTTTTGGTCAACAAAAATCAACTGAAATTGCCATCAATTTGCCAAAAATGTTTGTAAAATATTATGCAGAAGCACTAGCAAAAGGAGTGAAGAGTGTATCTGGGGTCGAATATGATGAAGATATGAATGATACCCTATTTGTAGAAAAGAATGTAGCAGAATCCCAGTTTTTTGGTCCAGCAATTAAAGGTATTATTGATTGTACATTGAAAGCTATTGAAGAGAATGGATATAAAGTTTACACGTTCTATTTGGTTGGGGGATTTGGAGGCTGCAAGTATGTACATGAGAAAGTCTCTGTTGCCATAGAAAAGGCTTATGGTTCTAAAGGTCATTCTTGTAATGTGATAGTGCCTCCTACTCCTCAATTAGCTGTTGCTACAGGAGCTGCTATTTGGCGTAAGAATCCAGAGAAGATTAAAGCAAGACGATCTGATGCTACATATGGAATAGGAGTATCTATACCATTTGATGATGACAAGCATGATGAGTATTACAAGTGTTATATTGATGAGCGAAAAGTATACAGATGTGATAATATCTTTAGTGTATTCTTGGAAAAAGGAGAACTAGCAAAATCTGACGAGGTTATTACTACTTCAATAACGCCATCACGACAAGCCAACACCAGTATGAATTTAGTGATATACTCCACTCCTGATCTTGGAGTTCAATACATTAAAGACAAAAATGGCAAGAGTACGGTTGCAGTGATTGGGCAACTAGTCATTGATATTCCTAATCCTGATAATCTGCCTAGAGAAAAGCGTCTAGTTGATGTCACAATGGATTTCAGTGGTACAGAGATTCAAGCTAAAGCAAAGTATCGTATTACTGGAGAAGAAGTTAAAACTGTTTGTGACTTTCTTTCTGCTCAATAAACTTAGACTGATAGCTTAATTTATGCTTATTACTTTTCAGATTAGATCTATATATTAGTTTTTGTTTTTTAGAATGAATTTGTAGTAGATATACTTCAAATAAATTATAATAAGACAAAGCAGCAACAGAGTCTGTCCAATGCTTGATGGAAATATCAAGTGTGCAATTAATGCCATTGAAAATAAACATATTGTCACCAAATTTTATCTTGTTGGTGGATTTGGTGGTAGGTATATTTAATAGAAAGTTACTGCAAAATATGTATTCACTACCCACTCAACACCATATCTTGAGATACAGTACACAGCTGATATGCATGGTAGGAGCACAGTCTACAAAATAGGTCAACTTGTCATCAATATACCCTACCCTCACAACCTACCATTGCACCAACGTATAGTTGACATCACTAAAGATTTGAGTGGTAAAAAGATATAAGTGAAAGCAAAGTATCATATTATTTGAGAATAAGTTAAAACTGTTTGTGACTTTCATTCTGCTTGATAAATTTGTCTTGTTGTAAAGTGTTGTGTTAATGAGAAGCATTGATTCATAGCAGATATTCATAGTGACTACAATAGAAGCATTTCCAAAAATTCTACACCTTTTAAACCTTAAAAGTAATACTTTGTGTTATTGCACTATTTACAGCAGAATTTTATGGCATGTTATGTGACATATATGTAACATAAAGATCATAAAGTCATTAAAGTGACAGATCTCTATATGTCTTTACATGTGACATATATGTCAAAAGGAAGTGTTATAGTTTTGAAGATAAATTGTGTATCATGTAAGGTCAGCTTGCAATGTGAGACAAGATAAGTATGGTGCAACTATTATGTAGATTGTTTCTAAATAGTTAGACTATTTTCACTTTTAATAGAATTAACTTTATTGTTAAGTTCTGATTTTGTTAACTACTTGTGAGGTCAGTCATCAATTCCAAGTAATCATGAATCAGTAGTTCCAGGAAATCATAATTCATAGTGTGATACCCAGGAATTGTTATGATGGTATTGGCAGTCCATCTATAAAATACATTACAATAATTTACTCTATCAGTTCACACAATAGCTCGTATAGTGCAGCAATGGCATTGGCAGCACCTGGAGGATTTTTCGCATTTGGAATCAGAAGAATTGAAATAGTTCAAGTTAGGCTGCGAAAACCAAATTATAAACCTCCATTGAGTAGAGCTAATAAAATTCCTCGTGAAGATGCTGGCTATGGTATTACTGATGGCAATATTGCTGCTATTGACTTTGGAACAACCTCTGTTTCACTGGCTTATACTACTAAAGGAGATGATCAAGTCAGCACTTTTATTCTCGACCCAGAAGACAAATCTACACGTGTTCCTAATGCTGTTCTACTGAAGAAAGAAGGAGGGAAGATAATAGTAGAAGCTTTTGGCAGTATTGCCAGATCACAATTCACAGTAATGAGGAAAAAGGATCATTCTAGTTGCCAATACATTTACTTTGAGAGAATTAAAATGTTAATGAAAAGAGAAAAGGTAAGGCTTAAATAATATATATTAAATAATCATAGGTTTTTACTCTCAGAGTGTTGATAGAAATACACGAGTTGAGTCATTTTCTGGTGAGAAGTACTACCTGGTTGAAGTCATTGCATTTATACTGAAGTACTTGAAGGATCAACTCATTGATCATTTTGAGCGTACCGTCAAGCCATTGAAGACAACAGATTTTGATTGGGTCATTACTGTACCTGCTATATGGAATGCACGAGGAAAAAGAATGATGAGAGAAGCTGCTTATATGGTAAGTAAATGTAGGTAGAATAAAACCATCTAATTAGATTCCTCAATCGTAGGCTGGTTTAATGACAGAAATTGATGGCATTAGCAGTTTCACTCATGTTGCTCTTCCCGTTCCAAAAGAAATTAATCCTGACAAGTTGTCATTAGCACTAGAGCCTGAAGCAGCTGCTCTTTATAGCCAGGAAATAGTGGGAGACCAGATTAAAAGTGATCCAGGCACATCAATTATTCCACGTCCATCAGATTACATGGTGATAGATGCTGGAGGTGGTACTATAGATATTACAGCTCACATTGAAGTTGATAATGGTATTGTAGTTGAGAATATACCAACTGGCAATGCATGGGGTGGTACACAGGTCAATGAAGCTCTTTCTCAATTTTTGCAGCGTATAGTTGGTGACCCTGAATTTAAAACATTTCTTCATACAGAGAAAAGGTCTCAACATATGGCAGCATTAAATAATATGCTATACAATGAATTTGAAAAGCAGAAAATTCTTTTTGGCCAACAAAAATCAAATGTAATTGCCATTAATTTGCCAAAAATGTTTGCCAAACATTATGAAGAAGCACTAGCAAAAGGAGTGAAGAATATGCCTGGAGTCGAATATGATGAAGATATGGATGATACACTGTTCATAGAAAAAGATGTAGCCGAATCACAATTATTTGGTCCAGCAATCAAAGGTATTATTGATTGTACATTGAAAGCTATTGAAGAGAATGGATATAAAGTTTACACATTTTATTTGGTTGGGGGATTTGGAGGCTGCAAGTATGTACACGAGAAAGTCTCTGCTGCTATAGAAAAGGCTTATGGTTCAAAAGGTCGTTCTTGCAGTATCATAGTACCTCCTACTCCTCAATTAGCTGTTGCTACAGGAGCTGCTATGTGGCGTAAAAATCCAGAGAAGATTAAAGCAAGACGCTCTGATGCTACTTATGGGATCGGAGTATCTATACCATTTGATGAAGAAAAGCATGATGAGTATTATAAATTCTATCATGATGAGCAAAAAGAAAACAAATGTGGTGAGGTCTTTAGTGTGTTTTTAGAAAAAGGTGAATTAGCAAAATCCAATGAAGTTATTAATGCTTCTATAACGCCTTCACGACAAAGCTTCACTAATATGCTCTTTGAGATATATTCCACTCCTGATCTTGGAATTCAATACATTAAAGACAAAAATGGCAAAAGTACTGTTGCTGTTATTGGTCAGTTAGTTATTGATATTCCTAATCCTGATAATTTGCCTAGAGAAAAGCGTATAGTTGATGTCACTATGGATTTCAGTGGTACAGAGATTCAAGCTAAAGCAAAGTATCGTATTACTGGAAAAGAAGTTAAAACTGTTTGTGACTTTCTTTCTGCTCAATAGAAAAATAGTTTATGGGCAATAAAGTTTATTATTAGCCTTACTAGACCTATAATATTTAATTTGTACAATTGTCTGCTTTTAGATTTTGAAACTGCTACTGCATTTTATTTTTTACTAAAATAATTGTTAGAAAAATTAACCTATAATGAAGCAGCAATTCAATCTAAGTTTCACAAGTCATAGTTTATACTATAGTTTCAGCATATCGTTTCTTGACAGGAGGTACAAAAAAATCCTTCACTTACACATTTCATATATCCCTCTTTATGACAATACTAAAAATATAATAAGGTGAATAAGGTCACAGCAAAAATGTTCCTGTACTTTGCAAGTGAGTTTATTTATGTGCTTAGCACATACAAACTTGTCATAGTACAGTTTTAACTGATGTTTCCCTTTACATTCTATACATGAGTGACAATCTTTGTGCACTTTATGTGGTCCAAAATAATCACATTGGGTCTATATATTGATGATAATAATGTTCAAATAGCTAATTACCTACTTCATGGTACCATCGCTTATTGCATACAAAACACAAGTTATCTATAAATTAAAGTAATGAAACTATATTCATATCTGAGATCCTACTTTCAGGGACATGAGGATGAGCAGCTTGAAAAACTGTGCCTGTATTTCTTGCTAGATAATATTCAATAATCTATGATTCAAATAATGCATGTAACCCATACCATATGCATAGGCTCCAGTATTATCCTGCCATGGATGATAGTGGTACTGCTGTTGCTGATAGTAGTGTGGTTGCTGTTCTTGCTGTTGTTGTAGCAAGGGCATCTGAGGTTGTTGCAGTATTTGCCGTGGGTCAGGCTGCTGCTGTACTTGATAATGAGGCATTTGTTGTGGTACTTGAATATGCTGAGGTTGCTGCCACTGTTGTTCTGGAAGGAGATGCTGCCCTTGTTGTTGTGGCTGTTTCTGAGCTGTATTCCCAACCAATCCTTTCATTGCAACATGCAGCTG